ACTATGCAGACTTTCTCTTTTTTGATACATTTTTCTGTATAGTCATTCATTATAATTTTTTTCATCATAATGATATTAAATCATCCTAAATGAAATTTATCTCGGACACTCTTTTAGCTTGAGCCCAAAAATTTTGAAAGAAAATTAAATTGATATTTAGTATGCCTCTTTATATAAGAATTTTTCTTATTCAACTTGGATTTCTAAGGAAAGTTATCATTATAGTTTTAGGAACATATTGTTCTATGTTCATCCTTGCATTTTGAAATATGCTTTCCTAGAGTAAACAGGATTTACTTGCAAATATAGAATTTACATAACTTTACAAAGCTTGTAGTTTTGAGACTGTTCTGGAGAACACAGACTTCTGTGTCTCTAAACACTATTAGTAATTTTTTCCTGGAAGCCACAATGATCTTTTAAGTCACTCGAAGTTGTTTTAAGAACTTCTGGATAGTGTACATGTCTGTAAACCAGCTTGTACTAATTTACTTGTGTTTCGAAGTCCAATGTAAATAAATGTGTAGTGTTTCATAATTAAACTTCATATTTAACATTGATATTTGTTCAGCAATTTCATTTAATTTTTTGCATATTTTAAATGGTCCTTAATGTGTAATTAGTTTTACATGTAAGGTGAAATAACTTCAAATTTGCACTGTGCTAGAAAAATTTAGCATGTGCCAAAATACCAGACATCTTCATTAACTATGGAATTGCTTAACCAATTTGAATACTGAATATAGAATGAAAGAATTCTGTATGGATTCTTTATGAAAACCCACATGTTCATATTGTTTTTAGCATTCCCGTATTCTTTCTGGATGTTTTAAATTGTAGTGGTGTACATGTCTTATTCTAGCGGCTAAAGTGTATGAAAATATGCATGTGTATTGATAATTATTTTTACAATCCTTGTATTGTGAAGTAAATTACGTATTGATAAGAAAAAGTTATACATGTAGCATATAGCATCTAAGTGATAAGCACCAGAATATTGACGTGAAAGAATGCATTCTAGTAATTTTGGAAGCATAAACACGTGGGAGTGTTGTCACACTCTCAGCAAAGTGATGGCAAAAATAGGACAGAAAAAAAAAGACAAGAAGCACCATGGACTGTAGCATCAAAGAAAAGGAACAGCCCTCAGGACCACAGCTCTTCTGTGCAGGCATTTACTCTGATCCCCAATGACCATTTTTGTGTGCTTTGTAGTACTTCTGCTCCAGATAAGGGTTATAGCCTCAATATCTATGTGGAAGACCACCATACAGTAGCAGTAAGAGAACTGGAGCAGTCTTGCAACCTGTCTCGAGTTTAAATTTGTGACTAACACCATGGTTTATGATATCGTGTCAATGAATGCGTGACCTCTGTCCATCTGAGAAGGAAGTAATTCATACACATATACAACTGCTCTACTCCATTATTTAAGTGAAGCAACAATCAAAGACATAAATGTAGAGTGTCCATTACTATAATAAGGCTTTATTGTATGAGACTCCAAAAATTTACTAATATAAGTAATCTATGAACTTCAGTTATCTCCAAAGATCAGGGAATTGTTCCTTTCATTTCAGTAAGGAATCCCTGTTTGTTTTTCCTGTTCACTTACTAATAGAAATTAGAGGATAGTTCATTAATGGAGTTACAAAATAGCACCACTGTTATTGTACATTCTGTGAGCAGGTTTCTTATGTATCATGGTGGAGCATTATCCCACAGAAATTATTAGTAAGGAAGAGTTACTAGAAACACAACAATATTCAAGATAATCATGAATTAAAACCCTGGAAAACCCTACCAAATTAAATTATTATGTATTTTTTCTCTCTTGAACCCTCCAGATCAAGGCTGGGTGGTTAATTGAAGAGCCTGAGTCCTAGAATTTGTTTTAAATACAAGAGGAACTGACCAGAATTCTGTGACATGCCCATTACCTTTTAGACTAAAGGTAGTTTTGCATCTTGGACATTGAGATGCTTAAGTTACCTGTGCAGAAGGAAATATGTCTGTAAGTGTTCTAGGTATTCAGTGACTGAAATGTCAGGTAGCACAAGTTTAGGTGTGGTGCCAGAAGAATTTGGATTTAGTGTGACAGTGCCTATATGAATTTGGAAGCATGTATCTGTGATAAACATAGGGTCTCTGCACTGTGACATACACTGTAGGCATTTTTTCCATGAGGAAATGGTCTTTACTGGTCTTAAAATCAATAAATTTACACGTGAAAGACTAAGAACTCAGAGAAAGAATGAGGCAAGGTTTTTCTTCTGGAGGTCTGTAGTTTTGTTCTGGCTTTTTAAGATTTGGTGGTAATTTTACAGTACTGTTTTCAGAGCCAGATACCATATTTTGTATCCATCAGCTCCATTCCATTGACTTGAATGAAATGACAGTGATTTACATAATCTGTTGACCTAGTCTCATTTTCTCTTGAAAGCTTATCATCAGTGAAACAATAGAAGGGATGAAAATATGCATAAAAAATATTAAATTAATTTTTCTTTGGTTGAGATGTTATATAATAATTTTACTCGTATAGCATCAGTGAAGCCAAATATCAGGTCACTGGCGTAGAGAAATTCTCATTTGAGGACAGAGAAAATTCAGTTCTCTGCAAAGCCAGTGGAGAATCTAGCTGGGCTGCCATCAGCAGCAAAGTGAATATGAGTCCACTATTTGTCCACAATTGTGTGGGGCTTCCTTCATCAGTAAGAATATTTTGTGGGACAGAGTTTTGTGGGCTAGAGAGAAAGTAAATAAGCTGAATATCAGTCTCAGGTATTTTTCTGTGGTTTTAAAATATCTAAGTTATAAATTTGCGCTTCTAAAATATAATTAAACCCAAACTAACTGCCTTATAGTGAAAGGTATTCTTCCTGAAAGGCTGAAAGGTGCTGGACTATAACACGAACTTGATAGAGAATTCTGTCTGCCTAAGAACACTGATGGAGCAGCAAGAAAAGGCACTTGTTGCTCAGTTAATTAAAGAGTTAGGGTGCTGATTTCTTTAGTTTATTGTAGGGTGTCACATTACTCTCTTCCCCCTTATTAACCAGAGTATTACTGAACTGTAGCAAAATGAGAACAGAGGAAGGATTTTTTTTTTCATTTCCTCTGTAAAAGCAGTTGGAGTTTGGCAGGTTTTATTTTAGATAAAGGTAAATGCTTCATTAAAAAAAACCAAAACCACCAAAATATATCCCTCCTGTTTCATACTGAGAATTTTTTCCTGATTGTAATAATTTTTAAAATACATGCAATATTAAAGTCTAACTTTGCTGAACAGTGAACTTCTCTGAAGTATTCTCTGAAAGTTCTACCTGTTTGAAGTCAAGACAAATACATTTCTAGATGATAAACAGAGAAGACACAACCTCTTTAAAATAAGTTTTCTGATGTATATCTATGTTCTTGAAACAAACAGTTTTAAGACTTAAAATGCTTTTTACTACCATAATTCACATGTTTTTCAAAATGTAAGTTAAAAGCCTGACTTAGTGGTTCAATTATGTATGGGTTTGAGACCTTATCTGTGTTCCTTTATCTTATTTGAAATGTTCATGTAATGAACTTCTGGTAATCTACAGCCCTGTTAGAGTGCCATCCTCCAAAGGGGTAGAGTAAAAAGATGAATGTGATTTTAACAAAGACAAGAGAGAACGCAAAAGAGAAAGTGGAAGGATGTGTAAAGAAAGGAGAAATAAACACACAACCTTTGGCTTTGCCACTTCTTCAAGTAATCCTTGGATACTTTTGCATGATGGGGCTTGCAGGCAGACACAAGCATATTCTAGCTGCAATTTGGAAGCGTCTGTATATGAACCTTCTGTTAAATGGAAGTTACATAGCAGTGCTAACCTCGCAGAAAATACAGCTAATACAGCTAAGGATTAATCTAAATTGGTAATACTTCTTAAAATATTCTGGACAGTTTTATTTCAAGCTTTTATTATCAGTATATTTCTTAGAGCTAATTTTATGATAAATAAGAAGCTTCAAGCCAACAGTCACCAATATTATTCATTGCTCCCCAATATAGTACTCCAGAAACTTAAATGTGCCATAAACTTTTTCAAAGAATGATGTTTCTTTGCTGTAAGAAGGATAACTCTCCAAGTAATTGATCTGATTTGTGCAGATGGATAGTTTCCTGTGTAATACGTGAGTGTACTTCAGGCAACACAGCTAATTTTGCGCTCCAAGCAGATATGCTGTGCTAGCACATAGTAGAGTATGAAGGATAAGTGATATGATCACACTGAGATTTAATAAATTTTCTGCTTATGTCAAATTTTTATCACAGCTTGAAAATTTGTTTAAAAAGTCATTTGAAAAATAAATGCAAATAAAATTAAACAGTTCTCTAGTATCGTGAGTTATCCAGTATTGCAAGTCATTTTACATGACAGATTTTTTAGTCCAGCCTTGGAATGTGTATACACACTCCTGTTGAGATGGTGGAGGGAATGTAGAAAAGGTGATTATAGATCATCTTTTTGTGTTGCTGCATCAGGTGCATCTTGTAGTAGATAAGCTTACAAATATGTGGTTCTTGCTTTTTTCAGGGTAATAAAAAGTGCAGCATGGAAACCAAAGTTACTGTGACAAGAGTCAACAATGTAATCTGAATTAAATGCACGTACTCTATTAGCATGTGTCAAAGGATATTATATTTATATATCAAAATAAACAGTGATAGAAATTAGTAACTGTGAATTCTTGTTTTCCATTTCAGGTCAAGAGATGGAGAACAGAATTTCAATTTCCATTTCCAAAAAAAATTATTGTGTGGATACTTGCATTATTCTGTCTTATCTTGGTTATAAATAGTGGTTTAAAATGTTTGTGTAAAAAGCATGAGTGATTTTACAGTTCCCTGTATTTATTGTGTGTGCCTCTGTTTTTAAGACATTTCAAGTCTTTGGGTATTTTCTGAGATAACTGCATCCCACATACTGCTTGCTAGATCTGACAGGATTCATGTTCTCTTTCAGGAGACGCTGATAGATTGGTGTGATGAAAAGGAACTTAATTTGATTTTAACAACTGGAGGAACAGGGTTTGCACCACGAGATGTCACTCCAGAGGTGAGATAGTCCTGGAATAGAAAAATCTGCCCTTTGGTGTAGAAATGTATGACTCTGGAGGAGGCGGGGGGCGGATTTTTTTTTTTGCTTTCCTCTGTAACTTCACTTTGCAGTATCTATGGACAGGTCAAGGGATACACAACTTGGAAGCAGAAAAAAGCAATAGAGTATAGCATAAGAGAATATCTCTGACCTTGGGTTCTGACCCAAAACAATTTTCAAACTAAAATGTGGTATAGCATAATGGTTTTCTAGTCCCCTTAAAAAACAAAATTCTGATGGCTTTTTGGCGTAATTTTCCTTAGCACTGCAGTACAACACTGCTAAGCAAAATCTTGTTATGTCCACAAGGAGAAGTGGGATAAGAGATCCTTTAATTCTCCCTTGCAGAATACTGCATTGACAACTACTGCATTGTAGGTTGGAGTGTGAGACACAGATAGTAGGGGAAAAATTCCATGCAAAGCTACTATTGATCTGCTTGATACCACATTGTCAGAAAAACCTAAACAGGCACAGAGATGGAGGCAACCTGCACCAGTAAATGTTGCACAGGAAATCTGGTTACATTCCACTTATACGGAGCTGAAGTAAAGAGGAAAAAAGGGACATTTAACCTAATGGCCTCATGGCTATGAGTTGTCATATGAAATTACTGTGTGATTGTGATTGAAGTATTTTGATATTTATGGTTCCAAATTAGATTAATATGAACTTTTAAAATTACATACTTTATTTGATTTGCTTACGTTCACTAAAGGGCAGAATTAAGATTGAGTGCCTGAAGTGTTTATTTGCATAATGTAACAGATCTAGGTTTCTCTTAAGTACTCATATAAGTTTTCAGTTGCTTAGACTTTCATATTGGAGTTGATTTGAGTTCTTTATAGCACATCTACAATGCTTTTTTACTTACAAATGAGTTCTGTCACATGGCTGCAGTTTAATTTTTTTCCCATTAGAAATCTATGAACATTTTTTAATTTATTGTATAACATTTCTGTGACTAAAGAAACATGTAACCAAAATGCTCCTGTTCATTACTTCTGATGTTTTTAGATTATATACTAGAAGTCTTGAGTAACTAAAACGTTGGGGTCTCTTTATCAGAATATGGGAACAGTGTAAGATGACTGCAGTGTGCTAGCTATTGAAACTGATTTTGCAGATTATTCACTGTGCTAAAGCCACGAAAAGTGAAAAGTGCGTAGGTTAAGTTTGTATCTTGCTTACAAACTAAATGATTTTGAAGGTTGTATTAAGAGGACTGTGTAGAAGGATGACTGAATTTCTTCTTCAGTTTTCCTTTGTGCAGGGACGAGCCTAGGCAGTAGTGCCAGAGAAAGCATTGCAGCCAGTGCCAAAAATTAGCCACAGATTCTCAAGCGGCATTTGGAACAAGAAATAAACAAATGAGAACTATGCCCATAAACACCTAGTATTTTCCTTACACTGCATTGCTGTTACTGAAACTATTGACGACAGGTGGGGGTGACTTGTTTGATCAGTTTTGATGAGTTGATGAGTTTTGAAAGTTAGTCTGAGTTGTTAATGTGTCTTTATATAATAAAAACACTGATATAAAAATCATTAATAACTTGCACTGTAGAAAAACTGCATTGTTTTTAAAAGTAACAGATATGCAAGACTTGGGCTGATCATAACAGAATCGGGTGTTCTGACTGTCAAATTATTCCCATACTTAAAAAGAATTTTCATAGGAGAGTATTTACTCACTTTTCACTCAATTAAGTTGAATTAACTTGCAGTACTAAATTTAAATCACAGTGGAGAGATTGAATCCCAGGTTTTATTACAAAGTGGCAATGATAAGGGTCATTCGTATGATAGCATTTATTAGATCATTCTTTCAAACAAATGCTTTAAGAGAAGAAAATCAGTTTGGCAGTTTGTGTCATACCAAAAACATATTATTAAGAAGCGTAAGTTTTGTTGCCATAATTTATGTCTTGGGTCAATGAGAAAGCCAATTCAAAATAGAAAATTCGTTATGTCAACATGAAATGTGCAATAACAAGCCTTTAGGAAAAGTTGAGCTGATGCAGGAAGTGGTTTTAATCTCTTCTTTGTGAGGTATTGGTCCAGCATGCTGTCATTGCTGAACTGATAATGAAAGGGTGTGATCATGGCATTGTGCTACTGAGATGTCATCTTTAAGATGTGATTTTAAAACTGTTAAGAATTCAATCTGATAATGGAAGATGTTTCAGCATTTTTCCTGAGATTAGGGAGAGTGGTCCCATGGGTCGTATTTCAGCTGGTATGTTTCCATCCCGCTTCTCCCTGATTCTCCTGTAATTTGGATTAGAAAGCATGTTTTCCTGCTTTCTTTTCTGAGTATAGATATATAATTGCTATTGTACATATACGATAAAGGTTGTTCCCAAGAGTATTTACAGGCCAAAGACTTAATGTTAATTGAATTTTGTAATTATTGATAAAATTGAAATTCAGTGCCTAGCATAACGTAGCTAAAAATAGCTTCTTGATACCTCAGAAATGTGTAATTAAGTTTCAAAAAAAATTAGTAGTTTCCCCACTCACTTTGCCTTTTGAACACTGTATCAGAACCAGGTTATTGCAGTTGTTTCCATCATGTGTAATGACATTTTTTCTTGTACCAGAAATAACCGATTTTAGGTATATTTACAATATCTGATTTTCCTTACCTGTCTCTGTTCCCTAAATTTGTAGCCTCGGTCTAGTCAGTGGGTGGAGAAAAGCTTTTGAATTAGTCCTACAGTTCACATTTTGAGGGTTGAAGGTCAGTTTAATTAAGCAGTGTGAATATCCTTTACTTTCTTGACTACATGACTAGAAATTATGAAATGCATGTGGGTATTTAAAAAACCAGATGCATTCAATGGATGGCTGAATTTGAAAGTAACTGTGTTAGAGATGTTATTAGTGAATGCTGGAATTCTTTATTATGGCAGTCGGTGGCTTAATTTTGTAGATACAGCCAAATTTTTTTTCCAGTCTTATTTTACGTATAATTTATGGAGATAGTCTTTAAGTCTCTGCTGGAACTGCATGTACAGTCTGCTTATTGATTTAAAAGTCTTAATTGCAGGACAGAGATCAGAACTTACATATAGCATTTCTTGGTGCAAACATTTTTTCCTTTGAGCTCAATATTTTAGTGATAGTTCTTAAATAACGTTGATAATAATATATGTTAACTTTTGTGAAAAAATTTAAATAGTCTTGCAGCATTTTTATCAATCACTATGTATCCTTCTGAGATAGAAATGTATTTTCTCTGTTGCTGTTGGTTAGTACAAAAGGGAAAGGAAAAATTTCATGTATACAGGTGCTCTGCTCAGTTTCTATCTTCTGTCTTCTCTACTTTTACATTTCTTCTTTTGCAAAAGTGTACTTCTAAAAAAGTCACGTCTACCTCCCTTCTAGCTGTTTTTTTATCCTCTGTCTCTAGTATGATTCTGTGCAAGTCTTTTTAGCCCAGCTATGAGACTAATTTTATGTACTTAGGTAATAGCAGTAGAAAACAACTTATTGTGCCTCAACTAATGCTAGGCATTCTTGAGCTGTGTTGCTATGTGTATTCACAAATAGTTCATCCACACTGCAGATAATTTTCAGTCCTGAAATTTCAAGATAATACTTTAGAAGAAGCGCAGAAGAGCTCTTTTCCAGCATGTAAAACCAGGCAGGTGTTTCCTTATAGGCTTCCTCCTTTTCCAGTGTTCTGGAAAATTTATGAATGCTTCTTTTGGTTCTTGCTGTTCATATTCTTCAATACTTATAGACTGGTTTTAAATGTATTTAGGCACATTCTTGTTTTCATTTAATCTGACAATGTATGCATATTTGTTTATTCTTTCATCAGAGTTCTCTAGTCCATGAAAAGAGCTCATTGTTCTCTGGAACTCCCTTCCATTTGTCAGCATTTTTCTGAAAAAAGCATGCTCAGAATGAACAAAAGGCTCCAAACATAGCCACACAGAAGCCATGTTTGGAGGGAAGAAGGTCCCAGTTCTGCTGTGATATAAGTCTTTGTATATTCAGTTCAAAATTGCAACAGCATTTTTATAATCATTACCAATTGCAAATTTTCGATCACCCGGCTTTCCCCCATTCTCTAAGGTATCTCTCAGGATTTTTCTTCAAATTCCGTTTTATTTCCACAGACTATTTTAATATCTGTATCCTTCAATTTCTCTGTCTCAAGTAATGTTGGCAACCCTCTTAATCTCTATTATTTGTAGTTTTGTATGTTTTGTCTGTTTGTTTACTTTCCCTTTAACTCTGTTAATGAAATAAGATGCTTGTGACACAAGGTACTCTCACAGCAACAGGTGTTCCCCTCAGATTAACCCAAATCCACTGAGACTTACACTTTCAAATAACAATTTCCATTTAATAGGCAATAATTTAAACTAGAAATAATATATTGGGGATGAAGAGGGGGTTGTCCTCCCTGGTTCAGAGCAGCAGGATTTCTACTATTGTTTGTTGTGGATATAGGAGTGCTTCTATTCTTCTTCAGCAGTATTTTAGTGTTGTCACTGGAAAAAAATAAATTGATTTTCTTTTTACAAATTGTCACTTCAGCAGGGCTCCATAGTGAGGAGGAATGGAGCCTTCATCTCACATGGGACATAAGTAATTTTGTGGTAGGAATAATATAAAATTTACGACCTCTAATTACCCAGGCTGTTGTTTCAGTTTTTGACCCTTCAATATTCTAGGTACCCTCCAATATAATAGCCTTTTGCATCATATATATATTTCTGTAGTCTATATTAAGACTATAGCTTTCCATATCTCTTAATGGAGGTCTTGCTTCACATTGTTTGATTCCCAGGTTGAGCTATTATATAATGAAGTATGCTGTGTATGGATGATGTCTGATCCTGTAACTTGCCATCAGACCTTTTGAGGCCTTCATATTTCTTAGAAAATTGTTTCCAACCCAGCTTGCTCCTAAAGGGTCTGAATTAGAAAACCTTGCCACA